ACATACACAGCCTTCAAAGACTTGCTCACCATCAAAACATGCGTCCATCAAAACATGCTGAATAGAGGGAAAAAACCCTAGACAGAATTCTCTCATGATCGCGAGAATAAAAACGGGTCTCTTGCACACAACATACATCCACCCCGAGACGCTGAAGGTCACGATAGAGCCTCGCCCTGAGAGACTCCGACCCCAGGCCTGGGACATTCAAACTAGGTAACCAGAGAGACATTATCAAACCAATTAGGGTTGCTTTCCTGAATTAAACATGGACGGGGTCAGGATACCGACAGCCTCCCCCATCGACCCGTGGCCCATCACATTTTTGATGGTACCGTCTTGGGAGAAACCGCCTATATCCCACGGGAAAGTCAACTTTAGTGCTCTATATAGGGAGAGGTGAACAAAAACAGGGACCCTCCCAGTACAAAATTGGTTCAGTTTTTTTAAGTTCGGGTCTTCGACAATGGCAATGGGCAGAGACATTTTAAATGAGGTTATTGCCTCGTCCAACATTGCCCATGCCTGCCGTGCACCTGTCCCAGTTCACATAACAGTTAAAACCCTTTGAGCGTTAGGAGAGTTTTTAGGATCCTCAACATCTCAGTCAGCATACTGCTTGACAGAGTGGAGGTATCGTAAGTCTTTAGTCCTGTTGCCGTAATCACGAGATCTTTCCGCTTGGGCTGGTGAAATACGGCAAACATCATTGCCTGTGTTATAGATGGGCTTTTGCTTTTTCCTTTTGTCATTTACGTCCTGAGTAGGACACCTTTGTCTTTTGTTGGGAGGAGGGGGCATTTCGGAAGATTTAATGGGGGAGGGATTGGGTGTGTGTTAAGGTGTATGATTTATGTCTAAAATGGCTGGGGTCTCTACTGAGAGGGGTTGAGGGCTGGGAGGAAGATGTCTGGGCATAAGATGTGGAGGGAGTGACCTTTTTGACTGGAGAGGTCTTCCATTGAATGGTGCCTTTACTTAGAGGGATTGAGGGTTGGGAGGATTGTTTTTGTGGGCAATGTTTAGCATAAGATGTGGAGGGGTGGATTTTTCACAGAGGAGGTCTTTTTTTGATTGAGGTCCCTACAGAGTTGGGTTGAGGGGTGGGACGAAGGCGTTTCTTGAGAATGTGGGGCAGAGGAGATAGAAGGAGTGGGCTTTTTAGTTCGCGGTGTCTTTTGTAGATCTAAATTCTCTTTCAATTTCTTTATTTTTTCTGTTTTTTCAAAGGCTTGGTCGTATATTTTTTTTGCAATTCTCTTAGTGTAGTTTCAGAGACCAGGGCGTTGCCCTTAGTGTTGACAGAGGGAGTGGAACTGTTAGTGCCTTTCGTCCCAGAGACTTCAGGGGACTGAGGACCCGCTGTTCTGGCCCTTCCCTCTGGTCCTGCCAGCAACCTGCCATTCCCCATCTCCCTTCACCGCGACTGCACTTACAGCGGGCGAAAGCTCTTCGAGGAATGGGGGATTAGATGTAGGCCCAACCGGGGGTTTAAAGGCTCCGGCCCCGGAAGCTAGCATGCCCATTACAGGCGTGGCGGTATTCAAAGACGCGGTCAGAGAGGGATTTTGGTCGATTGGGGCCTTACTTCCAGAGGCCTTTTTCTCTGGGCAGGAAGAGGAGAAGTGACCACTCTCTCCACACTTCCAACACACCAGTTTGCGGCCGATCACAGTGACCGGTAGCTTCAGGCCCCCTACTTCCAAACAGTTGGAGATGGAGAGGAAGGTTTTTCGGTCGAACATTATGTAAAAACTCCATCCATCGGTCAAGCTATCGCAGGAAGCACCTAGTATTTAACTATACTGTGACAAGAAAGCTGCCAGGTGTTCCCCGTATACCGCTACATCCTTCGCCTGCCTTGGTACACTCTACGTAGAGTGATATCTTTTGTGATCACTACTCGGTTTGTGGCTTTGAGACAATCTTCTGGTGTGTGTAGCAATACGTCCCACATGAAAAAGCCCGAGCCCTTAACAATTCTTAGTGGCTTGAACCCCTGGAGCTCCAATGTTTTTACCACTGTGTCTTTCGTCGAACGACAAATTTTGCGCGTACGCTTGTCGACGACGAAGACTGACAGTATACTTTTCTCAGTCTTCTTTAGTTCTATGGGGTCCTGCAAGAGCCCACCTTCCACGACAAGGTGTGCGTAACTCTTGGAACGCTCCAAGAACTCCGCTATATCGATAATGCATTTTGAAGGGGACTTCCAACAACAGGGCGAATCCCCGGCCTCCACGTTATTTTTGGTCTTGTTATCATCTTTTTGGCCGATATTGGCCTCCATATTTTTTATATGGATTTTTGGCCATTATTTGCCTCCATATTTTTTAGATACTGATTTTTGCCCGTTATTGGCCACTGTACTTTTTTTTTAGTTTGGCCATTACTGGCCTCTAAACTTTCTTTGATTTGGTCTTGGCCATTATTGGTCTTGTTATGGCTATCAACGGCCTCCTCATTAACGGAAGCTAATGCGGGTATTCTTCGGGATTGTCTTCATCGGAGGTGGGGGTCTTTTTTAATAGAAAATAAATGTGTCCGTATGTAAAAAGAATCTCGTGCGGAAGCCATATTGCTTTTATACTGACAAATTGACGCAAAATCAAGGCGACCACGAGATTTGAGAAAAATATAAATATGCAGTGTACGAAAGACGGAGGAAAAAAAGAAAGGAATTTAATCTACAAAAAGACCAAACAATACGACAAATACAACATCTACAGGGAAGTTCTGCGAGTAGCTGAAAAACTTTCGAATTCGGGAATTTCGGATAAAGAATACTCAATCTGTATTTATTTAATGTTATTTCTGATAGTTTTACAATTAGTATTCATAATAGACATAATATTCTTAAGTTGACCTACTTTCTTAAATAAAGCCTTGTCACTAAATATTTATTAGTGATTAGTATTTTTATTATCTGAATTGTAGTTTCTTTAAACGGGTAATCAACCCCCTTGTGCTTATCTTGAAAGATGCCTGTGATCTACCTGCCATTCAGTGCAATCGCTGAAAACATTGATATGGTAAAGAAAATCGTCACATCGATCAGTTTCTCTTTAATCATTTTCTTTTTGGTTCTCTCTCTTCAAGAAAAATCGATCGGAACGAATTTACCTTTGATGTTGAATGATCCATACCATTCAATATTTGAGAAAGAATTGTGCTTCGCTGATAAAAGATAATTCCGTGTCTCTGCAGCCTTTGCAGATCCATTAAAAATCTCGAATCTCTTCTTCTTCTTCTCTCTCCTCCTCCTTCTTCTTCCTCCTCCTTCTCTTCCTCCTTCTTCTCCTCCCTCCTCCACCTTCTTCTTCTTCTTCTTCTTCTTCTACTACTACTACTACTACACTTTCTCCTCCTCTTTGATTCCTCAATTATCCTATACAGATCTTTGTTTTGTTAATATTATTTTTATTCGTCTCTCTAAATCCTTATTTTTTGCGAAATCTTCATTTGTCTTTTTCATTTTCTTTTCTTTCATCTGCCTCCTTCACGTCTCTTCTTCTTCATTTTTATTCCTTTTCTCCATCTGCCTATATCTATATGTATATCTTCGCTTTCTTCGTCTTCTTTCTTTTCTTTATTCTTCTTTTTGATTTTTATTTCTTTTCTTCATCTGCGCATAATAATTTATTTACATATCTGCACTTTTTGTTGATTTTAGCTTTTCTTCATTAGCCTACTATATTTGTTTATATCTTCTTCTTCCTGTTTTTTTTTTATTCATTTTCTTCATCTGCATACATAATTTATTTGGATACCTTCGCTTTCGCCGTATTCTTTCCTCTTCTTGATTTTTTTCTTTACTTCATCTGCCTACTTATTAATTTATTTGTATATCTTCCCTTTCTTCATCTTCTCTTTCTTCTTCATTTTTATTCCTTTTCTTCATTTGCCTTCTTAATTTATTTGTATTCTCTTCGCTTTCTTTCTTTGGCATCTTCATTCCCTTATTATTCTTGATTCTTCTTCTTTCATTCTTGATATTTTTTGAACTCTTCTTCATGTTTTACTTTTCTTCATTTTCTCCATTTTTTTTTCATCATTTTTCTTTGCCTTCTTTTTATAGATTTTCTTCATCCAGTTTTTCATTTTCTTTATTTACAACATTTTTTCCTTTTTTTATAATTTGCCATTACTTCCTCCTCTGATTAGAGTGGCCTATTTTCTTCTACTTCTCGACTTTTCTCTTGCATTTCTATTCGACCTTTTGACTCAAATTTCAAAATCTAAATATGTACTGCTTTTATGTCATTTTGCTTGGAACTACAAAAGATCTTAACGACATTTCCATATCTTTCGAATGCAGCCATCCTCTTTGTCTCTTCATCCGTGAGAATTATCTCCAATACACAAAGAATTTCAAAGAGAGAATCTAGATTTACACCTGCCCACGATAAAAAAATAACGTCTTAAATAAGTTGCCATGTTGTAAACATTTTCATTCGATCTCATTCTGTTTCATTTTTTTCATTGTCAGCGATTTATAATTGTCTTGAATTTAATCGCAACAGTTGCATTGATGAAGTTGCTTTGTGGTTGAAAGAGTTGTGCCTTTACCAAAGTCACCATTAGCAACAAAACGGAAAATTATATTAACAATAATAATAATAATTTCTAAAATACCGAGGAGCCTTTTGGATAATTGACGACACTTACGATTACTCGACCAGCAGTAAAACATGCTTGATACAAATAATCATAATAAGTAAGGACTTGAAGTCAGCTGGTAATATTACGATAATAACCCAGAGGATGTGGTTTTTAATCCATCGATTTATTTATTTATTTATTTTTTTACAGCTTATCAAAACATTTGGTTGTATTTAAAGCCAGAAAATAACCCATATCTGGGGAGGAGAAAAGGTGGATTCACACATTTCCCAAGAGTATTTGCGCTTAAGTGGATCTAACGAACCCAAAGGAAATTGGAACAGAGCTCTCCGATTAACTATTCCGAGCCATTATTAAACCACGCACATATCGAAGTTTACGGAACCTGGTATTCCTAAGTAGTCACCCATCTAGGTGCTGACTAGACTCGATGTTGCTTAACTTCAGTGATTGTATGGGAACCGGTGATTCAACGTGAAGTGGCAGGAAACTGTGGTCAACAACGACCAAATCAAGATATTAACAAACTTGAGGTAACCCAAACAGATATCACTGTTGTTGACAACAATAGGAGATCATCTGAGCGAACTGGGTTACCCGACCTGAAGGTATTTCTAATTGGGAAGGTTAATGCTTCGACTTCATTAAAACCTGTGACCATATCACTTTTCGTTCTGTTAATTTTATTATTCTGCTGTACATTCTTTCTGCGTTTATGTTGCTCATCCTTTTTATTACTGGAAACTTTTCATTGAGCCATTCCTCTTTAGCTTGCCTATATTCGGTTTTAATTTCTGTACGGTGCTCTTTTCTTCAGCGTCACTTTGTTGATACATCTACTAATAAAAATAATTTAAAATTTCCAAAGAAAATTACAAAACAAAGCTTGATATTTGCTTAAAAAAAAGAACTGCAAATTTTGATGACATTTGGAATAGTGAAAAGCGTACTATTTGTAATGTACTATTGAAGGAGTGTGACAGGAAAATGAATCGATATAACAAATACCAAAACAATCATGACCTTATGCACACTATACCGCTATAAATACTTAGGGATATGACCCTATAATGTGACCCTATAAAGCGAGAGAGAAGGAAAGAAAAATATGAAAGAAATATTACACACCCCGAAATTCCACACCGCGAAAACGGCACACATAAATTATATGTGAAATGGAAAGAATGCTGCAGAAGACTCAACAGTATGGAATTAGATAAATACATGTAACAATCCGATAAAAGAATGATGAAAATTGACCAAAACAGGAAAAAAAGAAAGAAAGAAAGAAACATCAAATAAGAAAAAGAGTAAAGAATGCAAAATGGAAAGAAAAATAGGAAATGAAAACACTGAACCAAGAATGCTCAAAATCATGACGATGGCTACGCAGAGGTCATCTGAATAGAGAAACAGAAACACCAGAATAAGTAGATAGCGAGAACTATCAATACGAAGATTGAGAAAACCCAGAAAAGCAGTAAATGCTGTCTTTACGGAAGAAAATATGAAACGCTAAACTACATAAACAACGAATGTAAGAAAGTGATTTTGAAGACTATAAAAATATACACGACAGAGTAGCAAGAGTTATATGCTGGGAACAGTGCAAAGGAATTATATTTGCGCAATTTATATTGCTTCTCTTTGAATGCTTTTTAATTTCTATCTACATCTTTTTTTTCTTTTTTATTGGTAGAAAACATAACTTCATTGGATTCCTATCTGGGAAGGCTGTGGTCTATAAAAACTTAATTTGAGTTCTTTGAAACGTTTCTTTTTGAACAGCGGTCAATTCCCAGATTAAGATAATGTGCGCCTGCGTACTGACAGAAAATAAGTTCAGCAGATATACAAAAATAGAAAAGTATATAAGGCAAGGATGTGTCTTCTCGCCGGATTTATTCAAAACTATACAGCGAGGCATTTCCGAGAGAATTAGATGTCCCACTGGAATTCATTATTGGCGGCCACAATCTTAACAACATAAAGCATGCAGATGACACATTGCAGACAAGGAAAGGAAACTATAAAAGAAAAGAGAACTGAACTGTTACGCGATATATGACTTTCTGGAATTTTGGATAATCTCCTCAAAGATGAAGAAGAAACGTGAAAAGAGAGAAATGTGGTTCTACAGAGGATACCATGGATCGAACATATGCGCAAAAACGCGGTTTTAGAGAAAATGGAAACAAAAAGAAAACATACAGGAAGACGCAGTTAATATTTCTGAGGCACATAATGAGGAAGGTGGGCTTGGAAAGCCTGATACTCATAGGACAGATTGAGAAAAAGAGGGACAGAGGAAAGCAGCGCGTAATATACTTTATGTGCTTCACTAAGTGGATGGTAGAACAGGATTTGGGAGAAATAAAAAAAAAACTTATTAAGAGCGATAAGGGGCAGGAAGATTTGGAGAGCCATGATTGCCTACGTTGTAAAGAGAAACAGCATATAAAAGAATATAATTTGCTTTGCGCGAATTTACAGTTTAGCTTAAAGCTTTTTGACTGTAACTAACGCAACTCAAAAATGTCTCCTTCAAGAACTTAATTTTCGAAAGGACATCAACTTTGAAAGGTTCTAGAATTTTACTACATTTATTACCAACTCAAAATATTACTTCATCTTTCCAGGATTGTTTCACGAGTCGTGTTGATTATTTAATTGAAGGATCCAAAATCTATCTCAACTGCTACGTCTATCCAATGTAGCTCTACATTCATTGCTAAAAATTACTGTTAATAAATAGTCTCGTTTAATTTTCGCCCAGCTTACACGTTTATCTTTGTAATGTTTGAATAAAAATGATAGCTGGGTTTTTTTAATCGGTATTACTCCAAGCAAGGCAGTAAAGCCACTAACACTCGAGGTATTATAAGGCATGGAAGAATTATTAACACAAGCATTAATAATACGTAGAAAGAGAAAAGAGTAATCACGAAGAAAGTAGATAGTGATTGACAATGCATTTTTGAAGATTAAATTTTACCATTCGTTGCCCCAGTTAACAACAGATTGTAGGGTCATTTCTGAGATCAGATGTTGTTTAGCTCTTAATATTCGACATATATTTTATTTGCCTACATTCGCAACATCACCTTCAAATAGTTTCCTTCTAATTGTTGATCATGGCATTCTTAAATTCTCTATCTTTTCTTGTTCTTATTAATATTTGTGGCGGGTTTTTCTACGTGTACATCGGGTGGGGCAATCTGCAGCGTCGTTGGTCATCGGTGACTAAACTGGTTCTCTTACCGGTGAGATGGGTGGATAGCCCCCCCCCCCCAGAAGTATTACAAACAAGACCTGTCTTTCAAATAACAGGTGACCCTTCTGGAAGACTTAACACCTATCTAGGACAATGGCACAGGCTGGGGGGGGGGGCTCCATCTCTGTGTATGTAAACAATGTAACGATAACACAGCAGACTGAGCGGGGTGCTTTCTAGATTGATGTCAACGGCCAGGTTGAAAGGTTCCTTGACGAAACCAGCAGCTACATGTCCGTGACCTAGGCGAGCTTCTAAGCGGGAGGACATCCGCTGTGGATGGACATAGAGAGGGATGAACACCGGAAGGTTTGCTAGCTCAAGACACACTAGGAAGGACTAGCTTTTCGGCTTTCAATCTGGATATATGGAGAGATCTGTTCATGTGACTGATGATGGTGATGATTCTTTTCAATTTCTGTTTTCGTTATTTTCTGATCTCTTCTTCGAGTTTCGCCCTTTTTACGATGTCTGTCTATATTTCTGAGATGAGGTATTTACATTAGTCGGACTATTGTCCTCATCTTTGTCGCCATATTTGTCACAACGTTTCGGCCGTTGTACGCTCCGGCCTTCTTCAGGTGGTTGGAATTTCGAACTGAAACCTTTATTTCGATCACTGGACTGTTCTAGTTCCACGTGCCATGTTTGATGAATGTCAGTTATCAGTTATTTCCTGCTAATTTTCCCTCTGAAAGTTATCCACTGCCTTAACCGGGTATTGAACTCACCCTCTTTGGGTCTGTCACTGGATCTAAACAACGCCTTTATCCATGTGTGCTTGAGGACATCTGGGTATGAATTTCTTGGTATTACTAATGTTTTCAGCAACCATTTTTTTACCAGTGCTCATATTGCAATTTTGCTGTTATCATTGCATGTTTTTACCAGAGCTCATATTGCAACTTTGTTATCATTGCTTTTCTCTGGCACTCCTTATTACTGATTCCCATATTGTATTTATTTCTATGCTTGGTCGGCTTTTTGTGGCCTAGCATATGTGCTGATTCCTTAATGGAGAGAGAAGGGTGATCACCGTCCCCTGTAGGATCATGTTGAGATCATAGACAGGGAACACCACTGGAAAATTCGTTAACTTAATGTCTTTATGATGTTTTACTGTGTTTCTTACGATGTTTTATGCTTTTTACGATATTTTTTGTCTTGGTTAAACTATATCCAGCAGCAAGGCCTTTCTAATCGGGAGGTTTTGAGGAGCGTGGAACCACCTCTTAATCGCTGACCCTGGGCGGTAGCACCTGATAAGGTCCCAGCTATGGGCAAATAGTTAACTTCCACAAACTGGGGTCAAAACACTATGAAAGAATAAAAATAATTTTCTTACTTGAAGTGCCAACAAAGAATTTTCATAGTAAAGGAATTACCAGGAATATATTTTAGTAAGGAAAAAAATATTACCAGCAATACATTTTATAAAAAAAAAAAAGATAGTACCAGCAATAAATTTTGAAAAGATAAAATACCACCAATACATTTTTAAAGAAATTACTAATGCTGCCAACAAAATTAAATTTCGGCATTAATTGACCCACAAGAAGTTGATATGCCGTTAAACAAATAAACGATGTCTTTTACGATGTTTCTATTTTCTAGGTTTTATCTTTCTTACGACTAATATCTGAAATTAAACCTAAATTGTATCAGCTATATGAATATATGCATGTAGGTGTAATAAACTGCACCATAGTTGTTTTATAATACAGAGTGTCCATAAATTAACTGTACAGTTTCTACGGTTTATTGCATCCATCGATACACTTCTTTGTTTGTTAAAGAAATATTATCAAAGTTTTAATCTATATATCGTTTGTTCTCTTTTAATTAATTTTCGTTTCAATTCTCAGGTAGATCGTAAAAGTGCTTATTATTAATCCGTGACTTAATGAAAATACTAACACCGCAAGAGAAATCTTGATTTATAGTTTATAGAGGGCAAATTCGTAGAGACAAAATTCGTAGAGACAAAATTCAGAAAGACAAAATTCATGGAGACAAAATTCGTAGAGACAAAATTTATAGAGACAAAATTCGTAGAGACAAAATTTATAGAGACAAAATTCATGGAGACAAAATTCGTAGAGACAAAATTCATAGAGACAAAATTCGTAGAGACAAAATCGGACATCCAGGCCTAGTAAAATTACAGTATAGTGTATGAAAAAAACAAAAAACAAAAAAC